TCTTTTCCCCCGCTTTACACTCTTTTTATTTCTCTTTCCTGTTTTCATTCCGTTTAGGTAAGTAATTGGACACTTGAGAATAGTTGAATAAAATGTTCTGCGGGATCTTTTGTTCTCTTAGAATCTCTTAGAATCAACTCATTTCCAGAAAGAGGCAAAAGAAAATATTACGTTTGTCTCGATTTTATGTTTATGCATATGTTTGTGTTTCTCTGCACAAGTAAAACTTGCTTTAATATCATCCGCACTTAACATCATCCAGAAACAATGACGAGGACTATAATATATAATTATAACACATAATTTCCTTGAGTATCAAAGTCACATCTTTTGCATTTGATATATTCAGTGCAATGAAAGACAATCATTTTTCACGGTTTTGCGACCAGGTAGGTATGTATGTACTATCTGATGTATTTCACTGTCATCAATTTTTACATATAAAAATAATTTTTTATCATTATGTTAATGATTTTATAATATCCACGATTCTCAGGTGAGTTGTATAGTACTACGCAAAATATTCGCAAATACCAATTTTTGTTTAAACAAAATAATGGTCACATTTAATGTTTGTTTAAGCTGAAAACAGTTTAATTAATGTTTTGTATATTAAAAAATAGTTTTCGAAAATTTATAATCAAATCCAGTAAAGACCAAAATCGTGGCTTATTGATTTTCCTTTTTTAAAGCTCCTGTGCGCACGCACGCACTACTAATTCATTATCGATTAATTATTCGCTGAAATGTAAAATCAATTTCACCTAATTATAATTTATAACTATTATTTTCAATAATTATTTGTTATTATGAATTGTGTCAAAATAATTATACAGGTTGCGTGAAAAGTTCGCGGAGCGACATCTATAAGTAAACGGTAAAATTATAAATTAGTCGGTTATATAGAATCACTTTTCACATGAACCTAGGTTAGGTTTCATTTCCATCTGTCAATTCTTTCTGTGTTTACAAGCCAATTGAAGTTGACGTGTCAGTATATTTGTTTGCAATTGAAAATTTGAAACAGCGTGCAGTGATTTAGTTCTTTGTTAAAAAAGGTTTAAAGGCAATGGAAATTCATTCCGAAATGGTAAATGTGTTAGGGGAATCTGCTCCTTCAAAAACAATGGTTTGTAAATGGGCACTTGAGTTTCAACGTGGTCGTACAAGCATTGAAGATGATCCACGCAGTGGACGTCCAGTCCAAAAAGCGCACCAACACCAGAAATCATTGAGCAAATACATGTTATTGTTTCTGAAGATCTAAGTGTGACTACGCGTGAAATTACTCATACTATAGGCATTTCAGATGAACGGGTACGGCATATTTTGCATAAAGAATTACAAATGAAAAAGGTGTTTGGAAAAGTGGTGCCGCATATGTTAACAATTCAACAAAAACTCGCTCGAAAGCAAATTTCTCAGCGTCATTTGGATCGTTTTAAGAAGAATAAAACCGATTTTGTGCATCGTTTTATAACTATGGATGAGACTTGGATCTATCACCATGATCCTAAATTGAAACAGGAACGTTTACAGTGGGCTGAAGCTGGATGTTCAGCTGCAAAGCAAACATGAAAGATCGGCAAAAAAGGTTTTGGCATCAGTTTTTTGGGATGCTAAAGGGATTTTGTTAATTGACTATCTGGAAAAAGGTAAAACAATTAACTCTGAATATTATTGTAACCTTTTGGATCAATTGGACGCAAAAATTCGTGAGAAAAGATCTGATTTGCAGCACAAACAAATCATTTTTCACCAAGACAACGCACCTACTCACAAAAGTGTTTTGTCAATGTCTAAATTCAATGAATTGAAGTACAAATTGCTTAATTATCCACCGTATTCGCCAGATTTGGCACCCAGCGACTTCTGTTTGTTCCGAAACCTGAAACAATTCCTCCGTGGAAAGCACTTTTTGTCGAATGAAGAAGCTACAGCAGCCGTAGAGATATATTTCGCAGACCTTCCAGAAACACACTTCCGCGATGGAATAAAATTATTGGAGAGCCATTGAGCCAAGTGTATTGAAGTTAATGGAGACTACATTGAAGAATAAAATCATTTGTAGAATTAGGTATTCTTTATTTTAGTTTCGCTCTGCGAACTTTTCACGCAACCTGTATGTAATTATTATTTGTATTTATTTTCAAATTATTTTTTAATGGCAGTTACGATCTTTTTGTAGGTGGAGCTGCTTCCAAGATGTGAAGGTCACCTTTGTTTTTTTTAAATGGAATTTATACGCCCTCCTTTTTTCATGGTGGATCCCCCTTCGGCGCGTTGCAAAAACGTGTCCAAGCGCCCGGGGGCGGCCGCAATTTGGCGTCGACCCCAGGGCTTATTTCTATGATTTGCACCGGATAAGGAGGGGCAACGGTGGAGGCCGGCATGCATGGACAGCAAATCTTAAAGGATAGCAACCTTTGACTTTGAGAGACCACCAGCTTGTACCACTAGGTACAAGTAACAATGCCTCTCTCTGTAGTCGCCGTGCGCTCGAAATAGCACCAGAGATGTCACTTCCGAACGACATCTCTCAACGTTATCTAGGGAGAGGAGAGTGTCGTGAGCGTGGAGCGTCAGGTAGCTCAGTGGTCTAGAGCAGTCGCCCGGCAAGCGAAAGACCTGGGTTCGATTCTCGGTCTAGCAACTACCACACTCTTGATATTTTTCTCTCTTCGGAACGAAAATAAGATGCAGGTCCCGAACGCACGGCGTCCCATCGCCACCTAGTACGCCCTGCTTCTTTCATGGAACCTTTCATGGTGAACATGGAACATGCATGAAAGAAGGAGGGCGTACTAGGTGGCGACGGGACGCCGTGCGTTCGGGACCTGCATCTTATTTTCGTTCCGAAGAGAGAAAAATATCAAGAGTGTGGTAGTCGCTAGACTGGGAATCGAACCCGGGTCTTTCGCTTGTCGGGCGACTGCTCTAGGCCACTGAGCTACCTGACGCTCTACGCTCACGACACTCTCCCCTCCTTAGATAACGTTAAGACATGTCGTTCGGAAGCGACATCTCTAGTGCTATCTCGAGCGCACGGCGACTACAGAGAGAGGCATTGTTACTTGTACCTAGTGGTACAAGCTGGTGGTCTCTCAAAGTCAAAGGTTGCTATCCTTTAAGATCTGCTGTCCATGCATGCCGGCCTCCACCTCCTTATCCAGTGCAAATCATAGAAATAAGCCCTGGAGTCGATGCCATATTTTGGCTGCCCCGGGGCGCTTGGTTATGTTTTTATGTCTACCATCTGATAGCGACTGCTAAGACGAATACAACGATCTATAACACAAGGTCATTAAGGTCGTTTACGTTTACAGAGGGTGCTCAAAGTGATGATCGTCAGCATCGAGGCAATATTGTAGTCTTTCTATCGCCGATTCAGTCACACGTCTTAGCACTTCGGAACTTATTAAATATATATAATAGCAATGTTTATGTTTATGTTTGAATCCTCTAAGAGATTCCAATATTGGAATCTCTTAGAATTCATTTACCACAAATACACATAACGAGATAATCATGATAACATTAGTATCAATGAATCAATCGATCGTGCACGATGTATCCGTTTGAAGAGCAATTAGATATAATTTTCATTTATGGAGAATGTCAACAAAATGCAGTGAGAGCTAAGATTTTGTACGTTGAGCGAAGGAGTAACTAACGAAGGAAATGAAATCGATATTCTCGCAGCTGTGGTTCGAAATCTTCATTTACTAGGTGCGCAACTAAGTTTCCGGGTTTTTTTGATTAATGAAAAATGGAAAATTTCAAGAGAAATACAAAAAATGGTTTATTTAAAGTATCGTCCCTCGCTAGCTACACATTTTTGCCATCTCTCTGGCAATACATGAATACCGCGACGATAAAACGATGCGTCTTTGAAACCATTCATCCAACCAATTTTGCACTTTTTCGAAATTGGCCAAGTGTTGCCTAGCCAAGCCATGGCTTGGCCATCAACCGGAACAAGTGATAATCGGAAGGGGCCAGGTCTGGCGAATACGGCAGGTGCGGTAGCAGATCCCATTTCAGCGTTTTTATGATGTCTTGGGTGATGGAAATGCGATGGCACGGAGCGTTGTCGTGCTGCAATATCACTTGTTCGTGTCTCGTGTCCCATTCTGGCCGTTTTTCGAGCAATGCATGGTTCAAATTGATCAATTGTTGTCGGTAGAGTGCCCATTGACAGTTTCGCCCGGTTTCAGCAGCTCATAGTATACGATTCCTTTCTGGTCCCACCAAACGCAGAGCATTGTCTTCTTTCCGAAGCGATTTGGCCGTGCCGTCGATGTTGACGCTTCGCCAGTAAGTGAAAGCCACGATTTTTTGCGTTTGGGATTCTCGAAATATATCCACTTCTCATCGCCAGTAACAATTCAATGCAGGAAACTCTTTCTTTCATGCCGCAAAAGCAAAATTTCGGAAGTGGCTCTTCGATTTTCCATCTGTCTTTCAGTCAACTCATGCGGCACCCATTTCCTTCCTTTTGAATTTTTCCCATGGCATGTAAACGTTTGGAAATACCTTGGCGAGTCATGTTTAATGCCTCCGCAAGTTGATCTTGTGTTTGCGTATCATCTTCATCCAATAACGCTTGCAGATCGGTGTCCTCAATTGTTTTTGGTCTTTCGGAGCGCTCCTTGTCCTCAGTGTCAAAATTACCACTTCTGAAGCGTTTAAACCAATCGTCACAGGTAGTTTTCGATGGTGCATGTTCGCCGTAGGCCTCCTCAAGCAAACGACGTGCTTCAGCTGCACTTTTTTTCAAGTTAAAGCAGAAAAGCAAAGCTTCCCGCAAATGCTGTTTATTTGGCACAAAACTCGACATCTTCGTTGTTAGAAAAAATATTTTTGCGTTGCGATGTGTTGGTATTACGACTGGTTATTGTTAACAGATGTCCAAGCAATAAAAAAACATAACTTCAGACATGTATGTCGACTACATGCGTTAGCGCCATCCATGTGTGAAACCTAGAAACTTAGTTGCGCACCTAGTAGTTCACGTCAAATAGCACGTGAGTCTGGCGTTAGCAAGAGCAATATTTTCCGCATTCTTTACCGTCATAAGCATCACCCATACCACTTCAATCTCCATCAAGAATTAAATGACATGAATTTTATGAATCAGGTAGAATTTTGTCAATGGACTCTACGTCAGATACAGAATTATAATTTATTCTTTCATTTGTTATTATTTACGGACGAAGCACATTTACGAATCACGGTAATGTTAATTTACATAACATACATTTCTGGTCAATGGAAAATCCTAAATGGCTATGGCAAGTCCAAAATCAAAGGCAATGGTCGCTAAATGTATGGTATGGAATCATTACTGATAAAATTATTGGTCCTTATTTCATTGAAGGAAATCTAAATGGTAATATGTACGGTACATTTATTCGAGAAACGTTAGATCCTTTGCTGGGAGATTTACCATTAGATACACGATAAATAATGTGGTATCAACACGATGGATGCCTGACGCATTATTTCAGTTGCCAGAAATGAGTTATGTCAAAGGTTCCCAAGTCGCTGAATTGGACGTGGAGGACCTGTACCATGGCCGGCTCGTTCCCCAGATCTAACGGCTTTAGACTTTTTCTTATGGGGAACCATAAAGAATATTGTATACAAAGAAGCATCAACTACACTTGCAGATATGCGACAATGGATTATTACAGCATGTGTTTCAATAAATTCCGAAGTGATAAGACGTGCGACTGTGAACCGGTGATAGAAAGACTACAATATTGCCGACGATCATCACTTTGGGCACCTTCTGTAAACATAAGCGACCTTAATGATTTTGAATGACCTTGTGTTGTAGGTCATTGTATTCGTTTTAGCAGCCGCTATCTGATGGTAGACATAAAAACATAGCATTCCATTTAAACAAATAAATGACCTTCATATCTTGAAGGCAACTCCATCCAAAAAATTCGTAACTACCATTTGATGACCCCTTCTGTACGATGCAACTTCTGTTGGACAAATGTTTTTCTGACACTCATAGTTTCGAAGATATTCAAAGTGCTAATAGTTACTGGATCACCCTGTATATAACCATTAAAAGAAACGTTGTATTATGGCCAATAGTATTGTCGAACACAATTTATTATTTCATGGTAATATACAACCACGTAGTTTAATATTTATTCAAAAGATATTTTTAGCACAAAAAGTATTAATAAAATATGTTGTTATGATATATATCGTATGAGAGATTCTTTGCGATAATGTGAAATCATCTTGCATATTATAACCAATAACGTATCATCCAACTTGATATCTTCTTCGCGGCAATTTCACACGTACTCTTAATCGAGTAAATAGCATCGTAATCCGCATCAAGATGCTAAGCTTGGAACAGCATCTGTCTTCACGGCAATAATTAATGCATGAATTTTCGTACGATCTTATTACAGCTTTTTTCCACGCTGTCATTTTTATTGTCGCCTGAAACTGAATTACGCCTATAAAATAACGGTTCAGCCAGCTGCTCTCTGAGGTAACTTTAAGATTGCAATGTAAGAATACTTACATCACTGAAACTTCTGATTTCTTCGCAGATACGCCGAGCGTGAAAGATAAATCAATGAGATAGCATAAATTCATCTTCATCCTCCTTCAAAACAATCATAAAAACACGTCTCATATCACGAAGTTAAGCAATTAACGTGTATTTCACTCTACGCATAATTAAGAAAATTGCGTTACACAAAAACATATTACTGTTATTTCAAAATGGTGATAAATTGACGATTGATTCACAATATTGCACATATAGTATATTGTTTCTAAAAGTTTAGATAAATATTCCCCGTCGTAATAGTAAAGATATTACTTCACATTACCTAATTCTCATTTGGTTCAGTTAAAAAAAATACGATTTCTTTTATCTGTATAGAAGCGGATAATTAAATGAATGAGCCAATCAAGAATAAGACGCGATCTAGTCGCATTTATAAGTCTATTGTATCTCGTTACCTTCTTGATACATTTCTCGACGGCCATTGTGATGAGTTCTAAAGATGATATATAAGATGAATTATTGAAGTTTTAGACCAAGGTGTGCTCCGAGAAGGAGCGAGACCTTCAGTTGACGCGCGGCAGAATCGATTAATCGTTGTCCTCGGATTCGCAAGCGATTCGCGTGAAAAGCGTGAGATACAGTTGCAGGAGGCACAGTGCTCACTCGCATCTTTTCCCGACAAGGTTGCAGACGGCGCGTGTGCGTGTGCCGTTCGTATATTCACCAGGGTGAGGAAATGGCGCGATACATCGAAGAGGTTTATTATGAAACTGCAATTAATTTGACGTACGAGGCCGCCGAGGTAAGCATACGTCATCATCGCCATTATCATTATCGTCTTCGTCGCCATCAACATAATTTTTTTCTTCTTTTTCGTCGCCATCATCAACATTGTCGTTATCATCGTTATCACTATCATCATGATCATGATCGTCGTCATTGTTATCAATCAATTTCATTTATACGAAATTCCCATAAAATCCATTCTATTCGTTCCAAAGCATTCATCGTCACATCATAAGACACAAGATAAAATTAAGCGACAAGATGTTGTTAATTATGCATGAGATATTGAGAAAATATCAACATGTACATGTACAATTATTCATTTTAAGAGCACGAGAATTATTCATGTGAGTACAAGAAGCGAGGTCACTAGTACGATATCAGAGAATTTCTTGAATGTCAAGTTTTAAAATAGCTTACGCATTTACACAGTCATAAAACATTTACGGCTTTTCATCTGTCGCCCGCATCATGTTCTTTCATCATCATCGGGTATCATTAATCTTTCCGAAATTGCGCTCATTTTTCTCTCATCACACGGTCTGTAATTCGTATACACTTATTTGTCGAACAGTTTGCATACATTTTCTTTGACGCACTTTGGAATAACTGACGTCCAATAGAATTTGTTTCTGAATAATTCTCATAAAATAGATTCTCATTGGGCAATGGACGCATTTCGAAATACGTTGAAAAAAAGAGTATTCGAACTGGTTTGCAAACGAGAGTGCATGAAATATACGGGGTGTGCCAAAAGGTAAAGTCAACCAAATCAGAAAGAAAAAAAACAAGATTGAGTAGAATATATAATGTATATAAACTTTCTGTGTATTCGTTACGGTTTCATGAATACAACACTTTATACATAAAAAATGTTGAATCTTTTAATATTTCAGAAATTATATATTTTCGGAAAAAATGTTTTATATAAAGTTGTAGGATTTCAAGTGACGTATTATACGATAAAAATATTTTTTGTATAGCGTTTCCAAGATCAAATAAAGATTTAAAATTTAAACATTTCCAGGTAATCTTTGCATGAACGTTATTCAAGATTGAATACGTTGGAAACGTATGGAAACATTCAAAATTATATTTATTTTTTTACATAATGTATCATTTAAAATCTTACAACTGTTTTATGTAACATTTTCTACGAAAATATGTTTTTTCGAAATATTAAAAAGTTTCAGCATTTTCTGTACACCATATAAAGCGCTATATTTATTGAACCATAAAGAATATACAGAAAATTTATATACATTACGTATTAAATTCAAGCTTCTTTTCAATCTTTTAGTTAATTGACTTTATCTTTTGACATATCCTGTATATAAATAAAATGAACTTACTACATGATAAACGTCCTGATCATAAAAATGAAAATAAATAAAATGAAAGTGTCGATTTGGATCTTCCGAGATGGTTAAAATACAATAAACAGTATCGTGGAACAGGAAAAACGGAATTCGTCGTAGAAGTTGAAAAATATTGTGAATCACCGACGACTTGTATAACTCAGTCATTATGTACATTCTACAAAGTTTAAAGCGCATTTACCTCGTCGTCATAATTACGACATTTATTTATAATTTATCGCAAAACACCGTTTAATCAATCATCCTATAATTGCTCTCAACCATGTGATGCGTTCAATATATTTGAACAATTTCGTGTAACATATCATATATAATAGATCTTAATTGTTAAATGATGTTTAAGATTCTCCGAAGTTCCATCAATAGTTTTAAGAACATCGACGAGAAATTGGGCACCTGGGATCTCGTTACAGAATATGATCGTAAAATAGAAGATATTATTATCAGCAAACTTAAAAATGCATTCCCGAGCCACAAGTAAATATTTTTTTCCTCGGACAATACACGTTGTTTGAACACAGAGCATTAGAAGTGTGGAAGGATTAATGCGACGGTTTCTCGTAATAGATTCATCGCAGAGGAGTCGACTGGCAATGAATTACCGGAGTTAACTGATAGTCCTACGTGGATCATAGATCCCATTGACGGTACCGTAAACTTCGTTCACGGATTTCCACAAACATGCATAGTGATCGGTTTAGCTGTCAAAAAGGAAGTGGTCCTTGGCATCGTGTACAATCCCATTCTCGAGCAGTTATTCACAGCAAGAAAAGGACGGGGCGCGTTCTTAAACGGGAAGCCGATTCGAGTGTCCCAAATTAAAGGTAACAAATGATTAATTTTGTTCAATATAATCCTCGCAACGAATGATCACTATAGTGGCCGTCCGCAAAACTAACAATTTTACAAATAATTTATTAATTAATTTTGACAAAGACAAATATATAGTGTAACAAGGCAATTTTTCTCTACGTCAATTTTTCTATATAGTACGCATGTGCGACCTGTTCTCTCGTATAAATATAAGAAAAAAGGCGCCAAGTACAAGCGCAACACGTATTGTGTTATTTTTAGAAGTATCAAACTCAAATTATTTTTTTTATTGTATATATATGTACATAAGTTTTTACAAGTAAAACTTATAATTATAATAAAACTCTGCAACACTTTTGTACTGTACAAAAGAAGCGATATATTAGAACAGTAGCGCCAACTGACAAGTAACACTACCCAACTGATACTCACCGATTTGAATGAAACTTAACATACTTATTAAACACCGAAAAATATTAAATACGTATTTTTTTGTTTCGGCTAAATACGCTTTTTAAGGATAGAAAGCACCCCTCAACCCCTGGAGGTGGAAACAGTTATGGCTAATTATTTCTGAAACGATACATGTTCTGAAAAAAGTGCTTAGGACCAAAGTTGTAGAGTTCAAAATGATGCACTTGATGGTGACCTTGAAATCGACCGTCGATTTTCAAGGTCAATTAAATTTGGAAATAATTAGCCGTTGCCGGACTTTGACCACAGCCTGTATCTATAATCAGTAATTTTATGCGTTGATTAAATCTGTCTTCAGAATTGATTTGTTGTGTTACTTTCCTATAAAAAAAAAAAAAAAAAAAAAAAAAAAAAAAACCTGACGTAATGGGAAAATAGGCGCAAATTTATAGAAAAAATAGGAAGGAGAAAAGTTTTGTAAGTAACTTCAGAATAGAAATAAAGATAAGAAAACATAAAATGTCACTCTAATTATAAGTTAAACATTACCTTCGTGCTATATTAGAAATTTTCAAATTTTTTTAAATTTTTATTGCTACTCTGGAGTTATCCACAATACCTTTTATTCTTTATTTTGTATTAGGATTTCATTCGGACATGATCAATTATTATTTTCCCGACTGTCGTTGAGCAAGCATTTTCCAAAATTACTTCTTGATCACTTATTTGCTATGAGCTATCTTGCTCGTGAATTTCGTTCGAATATACAATCAACCATCATTTTCATATCTGTACTTGGGCAAGTGTTCATTGTTTATAGTTTTACGTCAATTATCCTTACGACTGCTGTTTCTTGTGAATGTTTTCAAAATTCTTTCGTAAAGTATTTACTGCAAGTACTTTTCCATCATTTGTTCCTACGACTATTTTTTGTTAATTTCAGTTAGGCTTTATACAATCATAAACTCTGCTTTCTATGAATTTACTTTGAATTTTGTTATATTATTTTGTTATATCTTTATATATCTTTATATATATCTTTGTTATATTATTAAAGCATTGTTAATCTGTAAAATTTCATAATGTCATTAAACTCAAAAAATATTTTAAAGTTATTATGCCTCACTTTCGAAGACCCAGTGTACAATATAGAATCTAGAATAACAGATGAAGAAAGATCAATCGCTTCTCAACTTGCTGATTTGATAAAAGACGCTATGAGTTTTGATATATTTAAAGAGACTTCTGATACTTTGAACTGTACTAATGCTAGTGTGATTCCTGATTCTGTTTTAGTTGAAGACAATTCAGAAGGTATTTCGGAAGTTGTGCAAGGCGATACAAAATTCAGAGAAATTGTAGACATTGATTATAAGAAGAGAGTAATTATTTCCAAATTTAATTGACCTTGAAAATCGACGGTCGATTTCAAGGTCGCCATCAAGTGCATCATTTTGAACTCTACAACTTTGGTCCTAAGCACTTTTTTTAGAAAATGTATCGTTTCAGAAATAATTAGCCATAACTGTTTCCACCTCCAGGGGTTGAGGGGTGTTTTCTACCCTTAAAAAGCGTATTTAACCGAAACAAAAAAACACGTATTTAATATTTTCGGTGTTTAATAAGTATGTTAAGTTTCATTCAAATCGGTGAGTATCAGTTGGGTAGTGTTACTTGTCAGTTGGCGCTACTGTTTTAATATATCGCTTCTTTTGTACAGTACAAAAGTGTTGCAGATTTTTATTATAGTTATAAGTTTTACTTGTAAAAACTGATGTACACATATATACAATAAATGAAATAATTTGAGTTTGATATTTCTAAAAATAACACAATACGTGTTGCGCTTGTACTTGGCACCTTTTTTTACCTTTTTGTTTAAAAAGGTAAGTTTTATATAAGTTTTACTTGTAAAATCTTATGTATTATTTTTAAGTTTTACTTGTAAAAACTTGTTATGTACATATATAGGGTGAGTCAATTACAGGGTGTTACAGACTTATATCTTGGAAATGAATAATTTTAGAGAAAAATGTTTCAGACAAAAAAGTTGTATGGTGTCAAATGGGACATAAGAAGGTATCATTTATTAGACCTTGATTAGCCATTTGAAGGTTACGTGAAGGTCACCAACAATTTTTCAAATGGAACGCCCTACTTTTTTTGGCATATTCTTATAACGTATTTCAAGAGCTTTCCAAAACACTACAACAAAGTATTTTTTTGTTAAGTACATCCCGAGTTATGAAGCTTCAAATTTACAATATCGGCATTAGCATTACCCAAGGTATACCGCGTGGAGGTTGTACGATCGGATTTACACCTCTTGTGTGCGTGCGTCTATGTGTGTGCGCGCGTGTTCGCACGCACACACGCGCACGCGCGCGCGCGCACACACACACACGCATACACACACACACATACAAAGAGGTGTAAATCCGACCGTGCAACCTCCACGCGGTACACCTTGGATAATGCAAATGCCGGCGGTACTGCAACTTTGAAGCTTCATAACTCGGGATGTACTTAACAAAAAAATATTTTGTTGTAGTGTTTTGCAAAGCCCTTGAAATACGTTATAAGAATATGCCAAAAAAAGTAGGACGTTCTATTTGAAAAATTGTTGGTGACCTTCACGTAACCTTCAAATGGCTAATCAAGGTCTAATCAATGATACTTTCTTATGTCCCATTTGACGTCATACAACTTTTGTCTGAAACATTTTTCTCTAAAATTATTCATTTCCAAGATATAAGTCTGTAACACTTTAATTGACTCGCCCTGTATATACCTTAAAAAAAAATTTGAATTTGAAATTTCTAAAAATAACACAATACATGTTGCGCTTGTATAAGTTTTACTTGTAAAAACTTATGTTATGTACACATACATACCTTAAAAAAATAATTTGAATTTGAAATTTCTAAAAATAGCGCAATACATGTTGCGCTTGAACTTGGCGCCTTTTTTTACCTTTTTGTTTAAAAAGGTAAGTTTTATATAAGTTTTACTTGTAGAAACTTATGTTATGTACACATATATACCTTAAAAAAATAATTTGAATTTGAAATTTTTAAAAATAACACGATACGTGTTGCGCTTGTATTTTATATATACGTCACGTACATACATTATTAATATATAAATGTTATTAATTTATACTTGTTAATTATCCAGCTAAATCGCGTAATACCTGCACCACTTAAATTGTATTAAATGGTCCTTATAATTGAAGGGCGATCACCCTGGATGACGAGTCAATAAACATCGGTATTGATTTTTCGATGGCATAGCTCATCACATCGTCTGCTCAGCATCAGCTGATCGGCAATCAAATGACGTACGTCATAACATACCAACATTCTCACCTTTTTATGCCTCTCTCTTTCACTCTCGCCCATTCTCTTTCTCGCCTGTTCCCCCCCCTCTCTCTCTCTCTCTCTCACTCTCTTTCTCTCTGTCACACATTTTCACCTCCTGTATTCTAGCAATATTCTTCTCTCTCTTACTCTATCGCTTGCTCACTCGCACTCGCTGTTCTTTGCTTCTTCAGCGCGCTCGTAACGCCTCTGGTGTCGGAAAAACGAGATGCACAAATCCCCTCTCCTCGGCGGTCTAGCGTTTCTTTCTTACTTTCTTACTGAATCGTAATTTTCCGTAATTTGGACTTTGTCTTAAAATATGTATACTTGGAGACAACGTACACAAAAAACACTAGGACATTTTTCTTCCTATTTTTTAAGGATGAATCGATTGGCACTAAAAAACGTCGATCGGTTCAGCCATTGCTGAGATATGAATATCTCACCTCGTTTCAACTCGCAGTTTCGCGTATAATAGGTACGGTGTGCCTCATACAAAATGTCTGAATTTATTGATAATTTCTTGGCAACAACAGGCAGTATTTAATACTAGGAGTGTAATTTAGTTTTGAGGGTTTTGCAAGAGATGGCACTAACGTCAGTTTTGTTGAAAACATTCCTATTACAACTATTGTTTGTTAATGCTTTAATATTAATCCATGATATTTAGTCATTTACTAACAATAGACGCGTTCGTAAAAATCGTGTTAATCTTAAAAATGGAGTTTTCTAAAGAGCATTTTCGACGTGCTTTATTTTTGTTTTTTAATCAGAAGAAAACGGCGACTGAAGGTCATAGAATTCTGATAGAAACTTATAGTGACGTGTTAACGACGACAATATTAATAATAAAGATCGCTCAGGACAAAAAAGCTTGAAAATGCAGATTTGCAAACATTATTGGACGAAAATCCAGCACAATCCACTTCAGAATTTGCCAGAGCATTGTTAATCGTAAATGCAAATGTTAATCGTACAACAGTTGCTAAACGTTTATATAATATGGGATTCACAACGAAAAATGGGTTCCACATCAGTTATCAGAAAGTACCATTGTGAACCGATTGAACATTTGCATTTCGTTGATCGCTAGACCAAAAATGAAGAATTTTTTATATCGAATTGTTACTGGGGATGAAAAATGGATCTATTTTAATAATCCCAAACGGAAAAAATGATGGGTTGATCCAGACCAACCAGCAACATCCACTTCGAGACGCAATATTCACGATTCAAAGGTATTGCTGTATATTTGATAGAATTAAGGTGTTGTATACTATGAACTGTGAAATCCGAATAAAACTGTCACTGCTGATCGTTATCGGAAACAATTATAATACTGAAACCAGTACTGGACTAAAAACGATCACCAATGGTGAGTAACCGACCAAAAGTAATGCTCGATCTCATGTTGAATTATCAGTGAAGTAAATGCTATTAAAGCTGAAATAGGAAGTCTTACCGTATTTCACATATTCTTTAGACATTGTTTTATCCGATTATCACTTGTTCTGGTCGGTGCAATATGCTCTGGAGGACACTTTCATAAATTTGAAGTGCGAAAATTTGTTAAAAATTAGATCTACACTGAAACTACAAAGAAGAATCTTTTTATCGTCGCGGAATCCATCTCTTACTAGAACGATGGGAAAAAATTGTAGAAAACGAAGGAAAATATTTTGATTAAAATATTCGTTTATAATCTTGTTTAAATAAATCAGTTCTTGGGAGGAAAAACCCTCAAAACTAAATCACATTTCTAATCTATTAGAATAGAACATGGAGGCATATATTATAATATACTGCATACGAGGACATCTACATTGCGTCAGACATCTTGCATATAATAAGTGAAAACTAAGTTAATTTGAAAAATAACTTTTTTTGATAGCTTTTTTGTAATAGCTCTTTGGATAGCTTTCTTTAAATATTGAAAGCAAAACCAGGAAGGAAAAAGATTTGAATATTCTTGCAATTAAAAAAAAAATAAAAAAAAAAAAAAAAAAAAAAAAAAAAAAAAAAAAAAAAAAAAATCTACATTGGTCAACATCTTCATATAATAAGTGAAAACTAAGTTAATTTGAAAAATAACTTTTTTTGATAGCTTTTTGTAATAGCTCTTTGATAGCTTTCTTTAAATATTGAAAGCAAAACCAGGAAGGAAAAAGATTTGAATATTCTTGCTTGCATTCAATATTCAATAAGAAAATCTATCTTCTGAAATGATTCAAAAATAAATTTCTCTATTGTATATCGGTTATGTTGTAAAATGCATCGACAAAACTATGTCCCAACTTTCTTTGCCTCCATGTATATACTAGTTTACAATACGGTTTGAACATTTCCCTTTTGACATATCTTGAAAAATATCTGACATTAAAGAATATAACAGACAATAAAAGAATCTATCTTTTGAGATTTATTTAAAAATAAATTCTATTATTGGATATCAACTGCATTCCAAAATTTTAAAATTTAATTCCAAATTAAAAAAATTGAACTGTTTTGTTTCTAAAATTATACATACTAAGTATATATACAATAAGCGAAAATTAAGTTGATTCAAGGAATTGTTTTCCGAAATAACAAAAAATTTAAAGAAGTAGATATAAGTTGTCTTTATGTAAGTAGAATAACCAATGTCTTTCCACGACTGCGGACGATAAAAAAGAGAATGTGCCGTCCGCAACATTTGTCTTTCCACTTTCAAGCGATGGAACGACATATATTATAAATCAATATTTTATCGATTGCTATGATCACTCACAATGTACTACGGCGGCAATCTATAAGCAATCTACATTTCCGAAGATTGTGTCGCTGAGGAAGAAGTCGGCAAATGTCATTGTACGCGAATATTAATCACATTCACAATTGCGAGATATCGACGCATGCCGAAACAAATTGCTATTTTGCAGATATATCGAAAGCTCTAATATGCATGGAACCCGGCTTTATAAAGATAGATCATATGCGTGAGAAGACAATGGAGAGAATTCAAGCCATTGTTCAAGCAGTTCAGGGGTAAGTTTCGATATGCGACAGAAATGGTCACCCTGCTGTCGCGAGTTGGCGTTCTATTATCACACGTTATTTAATGAAATTTCTCTTAAAGCGTTCGCACTCTCGGTGTGGCGTCATTATCACTATGCTATATCGCGTTGGGAGTCGTGGAAGCTTACCATATCGAAGGCCCTGGCATTTCGACGTGGGACATAGCCGCGGGGTCTTTGATCATCTCGGAAGCGGGAGGCGTCGTCGTGAATCGCGCGACAGGTCAATATATTATTTACCGATTTTTTCCTTTTGTGAAGCTATTTTCAATTGTATGTCAGTCGCAATAGTGATATAAGTTATGAATTTGTGTCTCAAAAAGCAAAAAAAAGCGTTTATTTATCTCATTATTTCTCTCATTATACCGTTTATTTAATTCTGTATGTTAATCCTTTATAAAAAGAACAAAAGGAAGCTACAATACTTTACGTCACACCAGAAAATAATTATGTACCCAAAAACTAACGTATGCGAATATATCGAGTTATTTGAGAAGTTCATGTATTTTAATATATAAACTTCTCGATGAACATTGCATAAGCTATCAAAGTTAAAGCTTTAATTGAAAATTTATATCTACATATCGTTTGAAAAATAATATTTTAGCGCGTCATTTACTAAATGTCTGGAGTCTGATTTGTTAAGTCTGTGCGTTGTTACTGTGTCATGAAGATAGAGGATAAAAAGTTGCATTTTCGACAGGTGATGTTCTACCACAGTAAAGAGAAAAATACTGTGGAAAAAAAAATGTATAAAGTATATGAAGACGACGCTATTGCTCTACCAACCGTTCGGATGTGATCCGCTAATTTTAAAACGGATAATTTTGACCTTGACGTTCTAAAAGACTTTCGGCCGTGATTGAATAAATCAAGGCATTAATCGAAAATAACCTACGATACATGATTAGGGAAATAGCCAGAGGCCATAACAAATAAAAAAAATTCTAAAAGTACCTAAAAAATCCATATGAACATTTCCTTGATTCAAAAAACTCAAACAAATTTCTCGGACAAGCCAACATTTCATCGATTTTCATTTGCACGATTTGTATGCTAGTTTTAAACGACAGCTCTATCGTCGCTCACTTGCCATTTGTTACGGTCCGTTAATCACATAACACTTCTCTCACTTTTTCTGATTTCAGGTGAACCGATCGACATTATGAAGCCACAAGTGGTAGCCGCATGCAACGAAAAGATCGCGCAGGACATCGTCAGAATTATTCGCGAAGCCGATCTGCGGGTAGACGCACAAACGAAGCAATAACTTTAGCAGCATTCGGATAGACACATCCAAGAAATTTTATCAGGCCGTAAACCTCGAATTACTACAAATCAAGAGGAAATAATGGAAAGTTTCCTCTATCGAGTTAGCAGCAACAAACATCACTATTGCACCACTATCTATTGGAGACGCATTTATGTGTTTACTAGATAACAGTTTAAATTTGAATTTATGTATCTCGTAAATCATTAAAAATAAATAATTACAACAGCTTGTGAGACATCGCTTTTGTAAAAGAATGTGAATACAGCTGAAACAGTGGCGAATCCATCCCATGCGAGTAAACACACACGCAATCGACTTCCTCAATTACGCATCTCTTGCGATGGTTCGCATGCCTGTTATATTTCCTATCAAACATAATCAATAGACAATAAACAGAAATATATGAAATTATATAATGCTAACGTAATTGTAAAATATCGTATCAGCAATTAGAGACGTGCAGGTGGGATAATTCCACGATTTCCCTTCTTTTTTTTCTGTGCCACTTAATGACTACATCTTCCGGATGAAAATATAATGCAGGGAAATACCACATTCTACGAAGTTTCCTAATTATACGTCGAGCGGTTGATGTGCACTGACGGAAAAACAGCAGAACAACGTCATTGTAGTATAGAAATATACACGTAGATTAATGACGTCGTAAGAACACTAGGATTTTACACAGTTGCGAATAGTTCGGTGCGATCGACCCCGATAGATTCGCATCGATGACACACGTGCGTAATCAACTCGCGGCGCGTATCTTCTACCTTCTAGGCTGACGTCATCGTCACCACTGTATAAAACTTTCCCAACGTCGCGTTCGTCGGTCAGATAAGTTTCGGTCGTTCCTACGTGTTCGACGCTCGTCCCTATAACCAACTCGCCACACCGAGAAGAAAATTGCATCACAATAAATCGTACTCGAACGACAAAACCGATAGTCGCATCAACGAGAGCATAAGTGCTTATGAAATCGTCACGTGTTAGTGCAAACCTCCCCATGATCTGTTTTGCTCATTGTAGTGAAATACAATTGGGAAACATGACTGAAGCAAACGACTTGGACGTGTACTACAACACTGCCAAAAAATTGATTTTGTACGCTGGAAAGGTATGTATTATTATCGTTGCAAAGTGTTGGGTGGATGCTCCGCTGCGGCGGAAGCACCTATTAATCGAGAATACCTATAACGATAATAAGGATGATCGAAAAAAATAAACAGCACTCTCGGTATTATGATATGTATACTCCAGCAAGATATCCACACGTAACGTATAATTTTGTCGGAAAATTTCATAACAAAAATACATCTTATCACAACGACAGCCGAGAGTCTCTCTTCATCACGCTCGGGAGAAGAAAATAAAAGTTATGTAAATAGCGCCAATCTCGCACGGCGGCACTTATATACCATTCTAATAATAAAAAGCTTCGGTCGCGTCTAACTTAAACGATAGCTAATGTTTTATAAAAGGAAACAACAGTGATAAGTAAACGTAGCACCGCTTGTATGTTATGGAAGAGGAGAGAAAGGAAGAAGGAAAAGATAGAGATAGAAAGCACGATAGCAAAATACTTTAAAGACAGATGCCAAGTGATAGTCACGAGTGTGAGGCTAAAAATGATTCGGTGTAATTTACATCCATCTCACTAATACAGTAAACATTTCAATGCACATTTTCATTTTTATTTTCATCTCATAGATTTTTTTGCAAATATTGTGTAAACATATTTGAAACTGTCCAATATATATTGTATATATTTCTATACACTAGAAGTCTTTATACGGTCAATCAGCATGTAAATTTCAATTAATTATTTCAATGCTCCAATAAAGTTTGAGTCGTTAAAAATAAAGAAAATAAATGCAATTTTAGATACATACATATTATGTTAATTCATTTCATTTGTTCCGTATTGGTTATATATTAGACTTGGTATACTAAATGGTATACTAAATCAATTACATTTTATATATAAATTAATAAGATTAAATTAATAAAAAATGTGGTATAATATTATAGCGTCAGTCATTGATATTTTCCATCACAGTGTTAATCTTATAACAGGATCATTGAATTATATGCATGTAAAAATATTGACGTATAAATTAATACAAAATTGCTAAATATACTAAGTTAATTTTATTAATAGTATGTACGTGATGAATTACACGTACATGATGATTCATAAATGTACGGTTTCAGGAAACAAATTTACATACAGATGTTGTACATACTATGTTTCCCGAAATACAGAAAATCAAGACATTCGCTATCACGACTCATTCGAGACATTTTCTCTATAAATCATATAATGATTTAAAACAGATTTAATTTGTTCATGTAAACATAAAATGCCAAAATATTGCTACCAATATGTCACACACACACACACACACACACACACACACCACACACACACACACACACACACACACACACACACACACACACACACACACACACACACACACATATATATATATACATATATACGTCATATATATATATATATATATATATATATATGTCATATATCGATCTCTCGTGAGGGATGAGCATACATGTGGTGCTGGTATTGAACTTATTAAAGAAAATGCTTGAAATGTCCACTTTTAATTATACAAACACTTAAACAACTTTTTTCAGATCGATCAATAAGACAAAGTAGAACTATATTATGACCTTCACAATCTCTCGATTTAAATACGTTAAATTTAAATATATAAAATAAATAAAAAGTGTTATTTAAACATATGTTGTACATGCTATATTTCCCGAATTACAGAAAATTAAAACATTTGCCATCACCATTTATTCGAGATATTTTCTCCATAAAAATCACCCTACATGATGAAATTAATTTATTATTATAAAAATCTATTATATATGTTACATATATTAATGTTTACATACTGCAAAAAAGATATAAAATAAATTCTAAATTTTTCGAACAAAGTTTGGCATCAACAAGTTTTCAACAAGTGCGGAATTCAATGTTAAAGCGTGCATGTGTTGAGGCATATAGCGGTTGCATATAATGTACTTAGATTTATGTATTCGTTTTTTCAATTGCAATAACAATTACAAGATAAATCTAAGTACATTACAATGATTTTTAAATTAAGCTATGTTTTTGTATATTTATTACGATGACTTCCATATCGTAACTGCAAAGTCAAAGAGGGCTACAGAGGAACAAAGCACTACAGTGGTCTTATGACATTCACTACGTTAAATTTATAACACGAAAATTTTAAGATACACGCAGCACACAGATAAGATTTCAAGATAAACGGAGTTGTTTTTCGATTAAGTTTGCAATTTAAAATTTTCTTCGCGAAAGAAACAATGCAAAAATAAATTTATATCGTGAAACATCACGATACCATAACATATCATCATAACATAAAAAAACATCACAAAAACAGTATTTTTTTCAGGTGATAGAAGAGGGCATCAATGCAAAAAAGAACGTCAAGAGTAAGGGCATCGATTGGGATCTTGTCACAGAATACGACCGCCAAATAGAGGACAAATTGATAAAGCAGTTATCTATAACGTTTCCCTCGCACAAGTAAGTTATTGTGACTAACAACCAATCAATAGTGACTGTAACGAGACTCAATCTTGTAGATTTATTGGTGAAGAAACAGTGGCAAAAGAAGGTTGTCTACCGCAGCTAACTAACGATCCTACATGGATAATCGATCCTATAGACGGCACCACGAATTTTGTACATCGTTTCCCACACACATGTATTTCCCTAGCGCTAATAATAAACAAGAAGGCGGAAATCGGTATGATTTACAACCCTCTCATGAAACAATTTTTTTCTGCAAGAAGACACTGCGGCGCCTTTCTTAACGGAAAATCTATAAGAACATCGAATGTCAAAGGTAATTTTTCGATACACTTAGAATATTTTTCATGTCAGGGCCACATAATAGCATATGTACATAGTAGCTAGATGCAGAAATATATCTACGAATTATTACACAATTATCGCACGTCACCATACTGTGTCCTTGTTCAAAATGTAAGTATAAGAAATACACCGTTTTACGGTCTAATGGAAGGTTATCTGGTACCCATTAAATATTATAGACTATAATGTATATATAATATCTATAATATACATATAAAAGAATGAATACATACACATACCTATATCGTATTTTTTATAAAATAATATCTGCTTGTTATATAAGATAATCCCCATCTCAAAACATGATTAAATATAAATATAGAAAAAATATATTACTCTAAAAAGAATATATCGTTTTTGTTTTTCAGATATATCTCAATCATTAGTAGCTATGGAACCATGGCTTGCGAAAGATTCTCAATATTTAACTAGTATATACAACAGAATGCATACTTTAATACAAAGCACTCATGGGTAATATATTAAAATATTAATAAAATATATCAATAATAAAAAAATTCAATCTGTTTTAAAAAATACTGAAAACAATAAGTTGCTGGAATAATTTTAGCATTAAACATTTTTTTAGGATACGATCTCTAGGCACAGCAGCGCTTACATTGTGTTATGTAGCAATGGGTGCTGTAGAAGCATATCATATTGAAGGTATAGATGCTTGGGATGTTGCAGCTGGAAAATTAATAATTGAAGAAGCTGGTGGGGTTGTAATAGATACCGCTGGTAAATATTGATTTTTCTTTTTCATTTATATGATTATTAAAAAAATTTGTCTTCTACTTTTAATCTAGTTTTAAAAGATGAACTAACTATATATTTAAGCATATCAAAAATATGACTATTAAGAAAATTGCATTACACAGGGGGTAAACTCAATATAATGACACCAAAAGTTATAGCAGCATGTAATCAAGAAGTCGCACAGCAGTTAGTAAATCTCTTCAAGGAAGCAGATTCTAAAATACCTAATAAAAACTTAAATTGATTATATTTTGATACGTGCAACATGTATATCTCTTAGGTAACATTATATAAATAGTCATATACTTTTATACACTAACTAAAAAATACAATATTATATGTACCAAATGCGTCCAACAAGGAATATCCGCGAAGTATACGTCTCCAACTTCGACGAAACTTGGCATATTTGTAGAGTAGCTAAAAATAAGAGACCCATATCTTTTTTATTAACAATAGCTCAGGTTTAGGTGAACTGCCCCTCAAAGTTTCATCCCTTTTATGCTATATTATTATTCAATAATTATTGCAGATAGGAAAAAACTTTTTAAATAAAAATTGTATGGTTTTTTATGCCATTGTTGGTAAAAAAATTATAGGTTTCTTATTTTTAGCTACTCTACAAATATGCCAAGTTTTCAAAATCAGAGACACGTACTTTTTCGCGGATGTTTCTTGTAAGTTGTATTATATTTATAATTAAGAAATTTTATATTTCAGTATCAAAATGTCTTGTAGATATTTTTATATTTATATATTGACATTATCCTGATAATAATTAAGAGAGGGGGGTAATAATATAAAACCAGGTATCAACATATTAATGAATGGTTAGTAAATTATATTGTTAATAAAAATCTATTTTACAACTCATATTAGCTATGAAAAGTTATAAAATCCTACCAATATCAATATTCACCAAATCTGATCTCTCATTGCATTTTTATTCTTCTATGTCATAGCACACATTAATTACAATTATTAATATAATCAATATCATGAATATCATGAATAAGTATCATACCTGTGAGCCCATGTTAGGAGGCATTTGTTGTGAATGAGATGGATAATTTTGTTGCTGAGGTGGTGGCTGCTGAGGTGGTTGCGACATAGGTGGTCCTCCTGATGGTATGGGCGGGCCTCCTTGATAGCCTTGCGTTGGACTATGAGGATGATGCTGTGGTGGTCCCATTGGACTACCTTGTGCATTAGATGGAGATGGTGCTTGTTGGGGTGGACCCATTGGACTTGGAGCTTGTGGAGGTGGCATAGGCGAAGACTGTGGTGAAGGACTCGCCATATTAAATTCCAAAAGTTCTAGTTCTTTATGCAAGAGTCACCTATGAAATGAAAAAAGAAAAAAACAGAAATTAAATATTACATGAATTTTTAGTTTATACTTGTTTTCTACATGTTCATGAATTTTTAGTTTATACTTTTTTTCTGCATGTTTATATGAAATACATAGAGATATAGCTTTTACCAATTACCATATCTTCAACAGATGGAAAACTTATAGCAATTTAATTTGCTTTAAAAAAAACTTCGTTATTGAGTTAAACCATTATCTTTTATCGAAAACTATCAACGTCAATTATAATCATGCTTAGAGGATCTTAGAATGTTCGATTCCGAAAGCATCATAACTAAGTACCGAACATCAAAGCATCGCGCGTCTGCAAATCATAATGCACGTATACGAAACTATCGTATTGATGAATCAACTCTTAGTTTATCAGGTTGACTCTCCTAATCACTGACAGATATATAACATTTTCTTGGAAATACATGTACTGCAAAGGCAGTAGCTAGCAAGCCATTGCAGCGTTTCCTATTCGTTCGACACCGCCTCTATTGCAAGTTTCATTTCTTCGAAACTCACATTTTTCATGACGAACGCTGTATATATTCGGCGTACACAATTACACGTGCACATTTCGTAGAAATACAGATTTCCACAATTATATTTCGTATTAACGACAGATATACGCTATTGACTATCTTCCTGCTTCTATAAAGTTCGTTACCGCGTGGGAGAACATGGCGTTAGCCTATGTTGCTAATTTGTGCTAGTCGCGCATGCGTGAGAAACCCGGCTCGTGTAACATTATCCAAGTGATTTTAATATGCTGAACGCGACTTTTTCATCTTGAATACTAATTCTTCACAAGAAATTTTCAGAATACGCAACAAATATAGTTTCCAAATAAAATGTCAAGAATTTGTAAAACTGCTTCCCTTATTATATTGCCATTATGCAATTGCCAGCATAGAAAGGTTATAGTATATCTCGCACATAAATATATCTGAAAAGTTACCTTTGATAATTCATTCTTCGAATCAGATAATATTATTAGATATTAACGATTGCAAAGTTTAATACGCAGAACTTAGCACTATGTTATGAACATATCGTACATATTCCCACATCAATTCGGTCACTTTTCTCGTATCGAACCTATTACATCTTGACCTCCATGACACATACACAAAACTTCATTAATCCTTCGTTCGGTATATGGCTTTAGATAGTAAGGTGTACCAGAGAGAAGCCTGAGAGCGGCCACGCCGGCAATTGGCCGACATGAATTTTCATGACTGATCTTAGCGCCATCTGCGTTCATTTGTAGCCGGGAATTACATTGACTACGCCCATTTGCAGACACTGCCGGTAAAGTCTCTATTTGGTGCGTGTCTATTTTACGCCAATTCACTAGCGGTTCGTGTCTGTAGTACAAGCAGAGAGAAGCCTGAAAGCGGGCATGGCTGCATTCAGAGAGAAGCCTGAGAGCGGGCATAGCTGCATTTACAGCGTTATGGAAAAGTTGGCTGATTCGCAGCGCCAACTGGGTCCATTTTTCATGGATATGAATTACTAAGCCAATGTCCACGATTTGTTGGTACTATTCCGTGCTATGTCCATAATTATTTGGTTCTGTTCTGTGCTATGTTCACGAGCGAGCTAGATTAGTTAAGCCAGCGGCACACGGTGCTTGTTTTCGTGCTGGATTGCTTGCTGGATGAAAATATTGCGTTGTGATTGGTACATTTCCGAAGATGGATGGAAATGCACCAATCAGAACGCAGTATTTTCATCCAGCAAGCAATCCAGCACGAAAACAAGCACCGTTTGCCGCTGGCTTTAGATAAAAACGAAGAATCGGTCTTTGTCTCACCATCAGCGAATAGACAATCGCGACGATAAACTGAAGCGAGCCAACAGCGATGTTAACATAAGGCACACGTAGCCGTCTCCCCTTTCACCCCCTTGTTTTCCTTTCCACATTGTTTTATATTCATAATTCGGGAAGAAAATAATTTCGAGAGTTCGGACGATTTCTAGCAATGACGTGACAGAGATAACACGCGGCCACATTAATTTGTCATGACTTCTACATTACTTATAATTACATAAACGCCCATATATGTACATTATAGATAATTATTGCTCGTATGTTTTAATATTGTACAATATGGTATATAATAACAACAACTTCATTTCTTGCAGTAATTTTTTTAAGATCTTCGTTGAGGTCGTGAATTAATTTTTTTCTTCATCAATCAGTTTTCTGCAAAAATTACGATTTTTTAAATAAAATATAAAATGTTTCTCTTCTCTTCTCTCCGAAGAATTAATTAAAAAATATTTACTCCACAGAGTCAACTAACAAATGTGTAGTCAGAAGAGTCAATTCAAAAGTGTACTCCGAAAAGTCAATTTAATAGCGTATTCCGAAGAGTCAATTTTAAAGCGTACTCTGAAAAATCAAATTAATATTGTAATCCGAAAAGTCAATTTATAATAGAATATTTACTTCGATGATTCAGCTAAAGAAAAAAACATTTATTTATTATTATATTCAGAGAATAATATTTAATTTATTATTTATACTTATCTTACTTATGCTTACCCTACATATGCTTCTTTGAATGAAAAATTTAATTTGTTGACTGATTCAGATTCAGATTTGTTAAAATATCTCTTATGCGCAACTCTTGAACAGGTAGGTAGTAAAATAATTTTTTTTCTCTACGAATTTTATAAACTTTTCACGAATATAAAAATTGAAAGATTCTCAGAGGACAAATAACTTTTCTTGAACATTTAAACCAAAGGAAAATATTTTCCCATTAATAAAGAATGAATAATTAATATCTCACACAAGAGGAATCTTCATCCTTGAAATCACCGTGCGATTTGGCTTTTAGAAAAGTATAATATTGATGTAATAGTAACAAATGCTACCCAATAACGGTGCAAATCTTAAACGTTTCTGAGAAATGTAGTTCGAAATTTAGTCTTTTCTGTTAATGTCGTTATAGCAGAAGAATTACCAATTTGCTTCAGTAGCGCAATGGATCAGGCTTTGTGATATGAGCGTAGAAGTTGTTCAAGTGTGTTATTTTTACTATCACAGGTAGAACTATGTAGAATGTATAATAATACGCAGACAGATTCTTTACATAATCATACTTATTTCTTTTAGCATGAATAAAAATGATCAATGCTTACGTAATAAGTGTATATCGCAATTGTACGTGTACGCAATTGTACACATACACACACATATACACACGTATACCAATGATGTCAAAACCGAACAATTCGTAAAAATTTTTTATTGATCGCAATTGTACGCAAAGACGAAAGAGAAGTACACGGGTCTCCGCGGGTATCTCGTCATATTAATTGTCTATGAGCTGATAAACAATTGATCTCCGGTATTTACAAGTTACGCTTGTCCGCAGCTTGTTCGGTTTTGACATCATTGGTATCAGTGATCCGAATTTGGTAATGGGCTTGCACGAGGATTCTCTCCCCCTCCCCCCCCCCTATACGCACCAGCCAGCTCGGTCAATCCGTGTGAGCCACGCGATCGGCAATTGTCGACGCGCTGAGCGAGCGAGAGAGAGAGAGAGAGAGAGAGAGAGAGAGAGAGAATATCATTCCCTCCTTATCGCTCTCGAGCCCTCGTTCTCGCTCAGCGAGCGAGCCTAATATTTTCTTACCCATAATCTGAATCGCGGGCGCGACTGTCTCTCTCTCCTTTCCTCTCTATGACAATGCTGAAAAGTTTTGTCTACTCGGCGAAATTTTTTAATAAAATCATCGATAATGGACCATATCACTTTAGTTAGAAAAGTCTGGAAACGGTCAAATACTTCGAAAACGAAACATTTTTAAGAAAAATGTTTCCAACTAAAGTTGTAGGGTTTTAAAAGTTCTATTGAATGATCATATGCGGTTGACCTTGAGTAGAGGAGTCAAAGCGAGGTCAATGCCAACATGATTTTTTTAAAGGGAACATCTCATTTTTTACCACACAGTGTTAAAGATGACAGCGAGACGTTTCCAAAACACTACTTGATGACTTATTTTTGTTGAGAATTGTCTGAGTTATGAGCTTTAGAAAAAAAATTTTTCGAACGAAAGTTGCATGGCTTGAAGGACTACACATAACGGAAATGTGGACTTGACCTTGAGTGAAGTGACCTTGTCGAAATCAGGCCAAGGTCATTAATGTTTTTTTAAATAGAAACTACGATTTTTTATTATATATTCTTGTAGCTTATCTCAAGAGCATTCCAAAACACTCTAACAAAGTTACATTTCATCGAGTACTTTCCGAGTTATGAGGCTTGGCGGTTAAGGCAAGACCGATCACTGATCCGACCAATTAAGGCAAGATCAATTCGAATATGTCTTTAGCCGTTAATAAGTCTTGGCCTTAGAAGTACGGAATAAAACCTCCTTGCTTTTATTACAATATCCTGTAAGTTAACAAATATTCTTCACACATACAAATATAGTATTATTATATTTTTATTAAGTAGTGTACTGAACAACTATAACATTGTTCTGAGAGTTTTCTCATTTAGAGCGACGAAACAAATATATTTTATGAATCATTTTTCGCGCAGATAGAAAATTTCACGGATGTAATTGTTTTTGGTGATTATTTAATACTGTATGAAAAATATTTATTAACTTACAGGATATTGTAATAAAAGCAAAGAGGTTTCATTTCGTACTTCTTGATTCTGTTACAATATTCTTTTATATTTCATACTACATCCTTGTATAACTTAAAATTATTCTTAAAATATTATTAAACAATAATCAAACCTGTGAACCTGCCCGACTCCGCAAAATAATTAATAAAATATATTTCATTTTCTTGGTGCCGAATATTATTAATACTATTACAAATAATATTACGAATGATATAAATTTTTACAGATAAAATTTGTAAAAATTTGTATTATTTGTAACCTTATTATACAATTACAAATAAAATTACAAATAATAATATTACAAATAATATATATTACAAATAATAATATTATTAATAATAAAATATTATTTGTAATAATTTCGGTGCGCCGAGTAGACAAAACTTTTCAGCATTGTCATAGAGAGGAAAGGAGAGAGAGACAGTCGCGCCCGCGATTCAGATTATGGGTAAGAAAATATTAGGCTCACTCGCTGAGCGAGAACGAGGGCTCGAGAGCGATAAGGAGGGAATGATATTCTCTCTCTCTCTCTCTCTCTCTCTCTCTCTCGCTCGCTCAGCGCGTCGACAATTGCCGATCGCGTGGCTCACACGGATTGACCGAGCTGGCTGGTGCGTATAGGGGGGGGGGAGGGGGAGAGAATCCTCGTGCAAGCCCATTACCAAATTCGGATCACTGATACCAATGATGTCAAAACCGAACAAGCTGCGGACAAGCGTAACTTGTAAATACCGGAGATCAATTGTTTATCAGCTCATAGACAATTAATATGACGAGATACCCGCGGAGACCCGTGTACTTCTCTTTCGTCTTTGCGTACAATTGCGATCAATAAAAAATTTTTATGAATTGTTCGGTTTTGACATCATTGGTATACGTGTGTATATGTGTGTGTATGTGTACAATTGCGTACACGTACAATTGCGATATACACTTATTACGTAAGCATTGATCATTTTTATTCATGCTAAAAGAAATAAGTATGATTATGTAAAGAATCTGTCTGCGTATTATTATACATTCTACATAGTTCTACCTG